TGTGTGTGTGTGTGTGTGTGTGTGTGTGTGTGTGTGTGTGTGTGTGTGTGTGTGTGTGTGTGTGTGTGTGTGTGTGTGTGTGTGTGAGCGCACTTATAGAGGCACTATACTCTCTGGCAGTATCTGGCACCAAGAGCAGTCCACTCCAGCTGCAATGGACATGGGCCAACCCCCCCCCACACACACACCATGCCCTCCATCCAACCCACAACTGACAAACACATAATTCAGCCAGCAGTCCTCCATCTTGACCTTTCTCCTCATTCTTAAGGTTTTTTTTTTTGAAGTCTTGGGTGATTCAAATTTTACCAAGCTTGTTTAAGTTAGTTCACATTTTGCATCGTACCCTGATAGAAGCGCCCACTAGGGTTTTTGGCTGTTGCCTCGGAGACAGCCAGCCACACCGCGGTGTCAGCCCCCTGCTCAGGGGTTCGCAGACTCTCCTTCATGGAGCTATGGAAGTCTGGCATGGCATTGGCCACCGCTGGGGCAGAGAGACAGACGTTAAGTGTTAGAGAACAATAAGGATTCAGTTTTGTTTTGGTGGTAGCAGCTACTTCAAAGTATGTGTGAGTGGACGGTACCTGGAGTGTCCACCCAGCCTGGATGCATGACGGAGAAGTGGATGTTAGTGTGAGTCTTTGCCAGCTGCTCTGTCATCACCACCTGCTGCCTCTGGAACACACACACACACACACACACACACATTTCAAGTAGGTAAAGCACACACATCTCTTTGACATGTTAGTTAAACCAAACATCTTCTATCTTGAATTTGATCCAAATGTAACAACACCGTTATAATTTCTAATGAGTCGTTTAGTCGTTTTTCTCAAGGGGAAACAAGATACTCATCTGATTATGATCTCTAAGAAGAATAAAGGACTCAGCTGCAATAACTACTGCAAATATCTACCCTGCGGTCTATGTTTTCCTCTCTACGTGAAATTAAACCGTCTGTTTCCTCAGGACTGACAGTCTTTGCAGTGCGTTAACACACTGATCTGCAGGTTCAGGCTCACTTCTTACTTTGTGCTGGGCGTAGACCATGGTGCCATCGTAGCGGCCCCTGTCCGACTGCAGGTTTCCTGTCCTGAGCTTCTGCACCAACATCCCCCCTGAAGACACGGTGATCTGAACGTGAAGGAAACAGGTCATGTTGTAAAATATACTGAGGTACTTTCATCTTGTCCAAGGAGGTTACGTTTTCACCTCTGTCCATTTGAAATGATTTTTTTAAGCAA